ATGAGAAAGAGAAAGAGAAAGAAGAGAGAGATGAAAGAGAGAGAAAAGAGAGAAAGAGAGAAATGAGAGAAAAGAGAGATGAGACAGAAAGAGATGAGAAAGTGAGAGATGAGAAAGAGAAAGAGAAAGAAGAGAGAGATGAAAGAGAGAGAAAAGAGAGAAAGAGAGAAATGAGAGAAAAGAGAGATGAGACAGAAAGAGATGAGAAAGTGAGAGATGAGAAAGAGAAAGAGAAAGAAGAGAGAGATGAAAGAGAGAGAAAAGAGAGAAAGAGAGAAATGAGAGAAAAGAGAGATGAGACAGAAAGAGATGAGAAAGTGAGAGATGAGAAAGAGAAAGAGAAAGAAGAGAGAGATGAAAGAGAGAGAAAAGAGAGAAAGAGAGAAATGAGAGAAAAGAGAGATGAGACAGAAAGAGATGAGAAAGTGAGAGATGAGAAAGAGAAAGAGAAAGAAGAGAGAGATGAAAGAGAGAAAACAGAAAGAGAGAAATGAGGGAAAAGAGAGATGAGACAGAAAGAGAGATGAGAAAGAGAAAGTGAGAGATGAGAAAGAGAGAGAGAAAGAAAGAGAGAAAAGAGAGAGATGAAAGAGAGAAAACAGAGGAAGAGAGGAATGAGGAAAAAGAGAGATGAGACAGAAAGAGAGATGAGAAAGAGAAAGAGAGAGATGAGAGAGAGAGAGAAGAGATGAGCAAGCAAGAGAGATGAGAGAGAGAAAGAGAGATGAGAGAGAAAGAGAAAAGAGACAGAGAGGGACAGAGACAGAGACAGAGAGACAAAGATAGAGACACAGAGAAAGGATCCTCACCTGTGCAGTTTGCTTCATCCGACCAATCCCGACAGTCATTGTCACCATCGCATTTCCATGAGAGACGGATACACATCCCCGAATTGCAGCTGAACTCGTCATTCTGACACTGGTGGGCTTCTGGAAACGGCAGGACAAAATGGTGCAAGTGGAAACTCAGATTATATCTCACTATCCCAATAGGCTGACTCTAACTGGGCCTCGCATGATGCACCATGGTTTGTATAAATCATGGTGAATTGAATGAAACCATAGGTTAACTCGTTGTACGCAACTGGAAACCAAAGATTACGGCTGAGTCTGAAGGAAGGACCCAATCATTTGCTCTTCGATCCCTCCTCCTATTTCATCCCATCCCAACATACTTTCTGGAACAATCTCCTTTCTGCAAAAAAAAGGACACAGTTCCGCTGAAGCAACATGTCACAACTCCTCACTGGTGGAGAGAAATGCCAGATGAGGTGGCTCTCTCTGCAAAATAGGCTGAGGCCCATCTTCTTTTCTTCACATTGCACAAGCCTTCCTCCTTGCCCAGATGTTTGGTGTCCACCCAAGGGACAGTATCACTAAATCTATATCATATCTATCTATCTATCTATCTATCTATCTATCTATCTATCTATCTATCTATCTATCTATCTATCTATCTATCTATCTATCTNGAAAATATGCTGACTCTATAAACCCCTTAGAGAGGGCTGTAAAGCACTATGAAGCGGTATGTAAGTCTAAGTGCTATTGCTATTACTAAAGAGTGAAGAACTGGGTAGAGGGTGATGAGTGGGCTGTGAAAATGAGTTCTGACGTGATCAATGAAGACTCAACCATCCAGGCCAAAAGTGCGTAAAAAGTGAAATCATGGCCCCTGAATCCAAATTTGTTAATTTGAGACCTTTCGCAGCTCATCCAAGCAACTTCATCAGTCAAAACAAAAATTAGATAGACAGAGAGTCAGAGAACCCTTGGAATGGTCCAATTGTGATCCAGTTGCCATAATTTAACCATTTTAGATATTTTTGGCCTGGATGATTGAATCTTCATTGACATACGAAGTGTTCCAATATCTCAGGGGCTGCCACAAAGAAGAGGGAGTCAAACTATTCTCCAAAGCACCTGAGGGCAGAACAAGAAGCAATGGGGGGAGACTAATCAAGGAGAGAAGCAACTTGGAACTAACGAGGAATTTCCTGATAGTGAGAACAATTAATCAGTGGAACAGAAGTTGCCTCCAGAAGCCTTGTGAAGGCTCCAACACTGGAAGTCTTTAAGAAGAGATTGGACAACCATTTGTCTGAAGTGGTGTAGGGTTTGCTGCCTAAGCAGGAGGTTGGACTAGAAGACCTCCAAGGTCCCTTCCAACTCTACTATTCTATTCTATATTACCATACATTTTGGGGAGAAACCCCTGAAGTTGATATGGTAAGAGTTGGAACATTGCAACAACTCTCTGACTCTACGTCTAATTTTTATTTTGACTGATGAAGTTGCTTCGATGAGCAATGGAAAGTCTCTGATTAACAAATTTTGGCCCCGTTGCTAAGATTCAACCTTTTAGATATTCCCACATGGTCAAAAGTCTGGAATATCAGATCTGGTTACCACAAAAACAACAGATGGAAACTGCCTCTCCCAACGTACTCACCTACTTATCCAAAAGAGAAATGTCTTTAGCCATTGGCACAAGAGATCTGAACACTGATTGTGTAAATAGTGCTCCCGTTTGAGACACTAGAATTCTTGTAGCAGCATCTTAGGCTTTGTTATAATAAAGCAACTTATTAAAAGTTCTAGACCAGGAGTCAGCAACTTGCGGCTCTGGAGCCACATGTGGCTCTTTCAGCCCTCTGCTGCGGCTCCCTGTTGTCAGTCGGGACCAGAATTTTGAGAGGAGCTTCCGATTGGGGGGCGGAGCAGGACGCACTAGGAAGAGACTCTATGGCAAGGGGCGGGTTTTCTGCTCAGCTCCACAATTGATAGGGCTTTCGGTTAGGACAGGTAAGAGGAAAAAGGAGGCCACGCTGGGAGGAGACTCTATGGTGGGGAAACCAGATTTCCGGTCGGCTCCATAATTGAACGGGGGGCTCCCAGTCAGGACTTTTGTGGCTCTTTGAGTGTTTAAGGTTGCCAACCCTTGTTCTAGACTTTCTGATGAGTTAATTGAGCTTACTAAGAGATGTTTGACCGCGGCCCACATTAAGAGAAAGTTGAAAGTCAGAGTGAAAGAGACTTTGCCTGTATCTAGAAAACCCATTACCACAATTGATGGGGTCTTCATCCGTTCCATCTTGACAATCGGTGTCTCCGTCACAAGCCCATCTTTGGGGGATGCAGTGCCCGTTTTGGCAGCGGAAACTGGAGGCTTCACAAGTGTGATGAACAGCTAAAAAAAACACACACACACACAACACAGACTGTTGACTTACTGCCGGATTCTTGGTGGTCTCTGAGCTTGGTTGTTGCCCTGCAGATGTTTCATTACCCAACCAGGTAACCTCATCCGTGTCGACTTACCAGCATGCAGGGACCAAAGCAGGAAAGGAAGGAAGGAAGGAAGGAAGGGGAGGGGAGAATGTGGAAATCAAGGTAACAACCCCCTTCAGGCTACAAACAATCTCCATTGACCCTGGCAAGCTAGAAATCAGTTGTCCAGCCCAACAGCAGGCTTAGGAAAAGAGTTAATTCAGTCACCCAGGGGAATCTGTTGTGTGAATTGCAACCAAGCTAAATATAATTTTAGGCCACCAGCAGTCTGGAGAAAGAACACTGAAACGGGCATTGCTGAGCTGTCTTAAGCACTGAAATGACCGTCCTTCACATTGATGGGTAACAAGAATACACACCTCTAAGTCACAAGTTCTCCTCCCTTTATCAGCTGAGCCAGGAGAGGGATGAAGTGGTTTGTTTTTTTCCTTCTGTCAAAGTACCTGGTCTGCCCAAATATAGAAGGGAGCATAGAGCATACTGCTTCCTCTACACACACACACACACACACACACACACACACACACACACACACACACACTGCTGTATTGGATCAGGTCAAGCTGACCCTCTCAGCCTGTCTGGCAGGATCAGCCTTAAAAAAAATTCACAGCTGGAAAGGGACAGCCGTTCCCTGCGCTGTGTCCCAGAGCTTACTAAGTTGGCTTTGATCTTTGCTAAAAGTGCAAATAGCTCCTGGCAAACTATTCTTTCTCCGCTTGCCCAAACCTTCTCCTCAAACCAACCGTCCAAACGTATTTGTGGCTGTAAATTCCACCACTAACTGATGCCTTTTGCAAAGAAAAGAGAGTCCGGTCCCTCGCCGCTCAGCATCAATGGATGGGGTAAAATAACATTATGCAATTCTAATAAATGAAATATATTGCTGGGCTTTTTCACAACCCGCTGTATTTTTATGAACCCCTGTTTTTTTAACCCCCAAAATGTGATTTTAAAGAGTCATATTGTTTCTGTTTCTCTCTTTTTTTTTCCCCTTTTTAATAGGAGTTGTGGAATGTAGTCAGATGTGAAATGCTACCGCAGAACGCTGTTACCTTCCCACCAAAGGTGGTTCCTATTTTTCTACTTGCATTTTCTATGTTCTTTCGAACTGCTAGGTTGGCTGAAGCTGAGACAAGTAACGGGAGCTCACTCTGTTACGCAGCGCTAGGGATTCGAACTGCCGAACTGCCGACCTTTCTGATCGACAAGCTTAGTGTCTTAGCCATTGAGCCACCGCGTCCCTTATACAGTATGCAAATAAATACATAAATAAAATACATAAACCAAGCCAGGCTGTCATTTTTGATGTTCTGCAGTACTGCTATCAAATCGATAACAGCACAATAGGAAAGCACACCTCTATGCCTCGAGCTATAAAACTAGCTGCACAATGTTTTAATGAAACGAGATGCATCCCACATTATAACACCAGGTGTATCCTGTATTATAAAGCAAATTCCAAGGAAGTTGTTTATATTTGCACCAGATGTTGTCTACTGAAGAGCAACTCCTACTAAGAGAAAGAGAGACAGAGACAGAGAGAAAGAGAAAGAAGAGAGATGAAAGAGAGAGAAAAGAGAGAAAGAGAGAAATGAGAGAAAAGAGAGATGAGACAGAAAGAGAGATGGGAGAGAGAGAGAGAGAAAGAGAGAGAGAAAAGAGAGAGATGAAAGAGAGAGAAAAGAGAGAAAGAGAGAAATGAGAGAAAAGAGAGATGAGACAGAAAGAGAGATGGGAGAGAGAGAGAGAGAAAGAGAGAGAGAAAAGAGAGAGATGAAAGAGAGAGAAAAGAGAAAGAGACAAATGAGAGAAAAGAGAGATGAGACAGAAAGAGAGATGGGAGAGAGAGAGAGAGAAAGAGAGAGAGAAAAGAGAGAGATGAAAGAGAGAGAAAAGAGAAAGAGACAAATGAGA